TGATTTTGATTCTGTAATCATGTGACGTGGGATGGAAGCACATCGTGCTGCTCACAGTATCACTTTCAACAAAATCTATCGAGAGCGTTGACACAGTTCATGTAACTGGCAATAATTCATGTGTGTCTCACGCTTTTCATCACAGGATTCAACTGCCGACCGTAGGTCATGTCCATCTCTACGAATGCAGAATTCGTATCAATTTGCTTAGCCGTCGCGCATCGTTGAGATTACTTTGTAGATTCGCAAAGCTGGAAAGAGTGTGATGAAAATCTTGCGGGTGGTCCGAGCGTGTGCGATATCGCACACTGTACCGCAAAAAGACAATTATCGAGTGTGCACTCCCTTTGTAGCGTCGAACATCACTCTTCGCATTGTGGAACGGACATTTGCATCTTCTGTTGAATTCGATGACGGCCTGGGTTCTGTCACTCTTGCTCGAGTATCCTCAATCATCGAAAAAGCTGCAAGGTAGGTGCTGCTCGTCGTCACTTTCCATTGCTGGTGTGTCAAATCCCAGAGGTTTTTTATTATCTACATCTTGTATCAGACTAGCAGAGGTAACCCTCAATAAAAGCAGCTATTGATGCAAACTAAGAAGGAGTCGGCAATGATGTGCAATACTGATGATCGATATGCTTTACGATTCGTAAAGTACAGATTCATTGGGTGTATTGATATGATGCAATGCTCTTGACAAAATTAGCCAATGAAATGGATCGAAGATGCCTTACCACAAGTGCACCAACAATAGCATCTTCAGCGTTCCTGCAGCAGCAGCAGTAACAGCAGTAGAGTCAGCAGCAGCAGCACCTCGCTCTACAAAACCGGCATAAAATACAACAACATTCAGCATAAGCGGCAGTGCCATCAATCTCAAGCGGGCGCCTACTGCAACAACAATAGCAGCGTCAGCGTACCTGCAGTAGCAGCAGTAACAGCATTAACAATAAAAACGATAATAAGAATAAAAACGGATGCAACTGGAACAGCAATAACAATGATAACATTTGAAACAATGACATCAGGAACCAAACCAAATACATCAACGAAAGTAACAGTAGCACAGGTAGTCTGTGTGCAAGACCGCGGACGATGGTAGAAACACGTGTCACGTCTTCTCATCACCGTCCGCGCACGCGCATAACCCCGTCCGAGGCTGCTCCTACAGAGCAGCGATCGAGATGGAGGAGAACATTACTCATGAGAAATGACCGGCGACGTGGATTTTTATGTGCACAATTTTAACATGGGAATTCCAGGATGTGAGGCATGTTTTTTTTACCTATAATTTGTGGCCTTTTTATTTCCAATTATCTGGGGCACTTTAACATGTGTCTACTAGAACGTGGGGCATTTTTTTAGTTTCTAACTATTTGGGGCTTTTTTATTTATCAATTATCTAAGCATCTTTTTTTATGCTTAAATGGGGCATTTTTTTGATTAAACGAGGTTTTTTTATTTCTCCTTTTAAAATACAAGGTGCTGGGTGGTTCCATGAAAATCGGAAGGGTGGTAGAGGACCCTCAAAATTGGTGAACACGTTTGCATGAAATGGGGCATCGTACAGGCGTTTATCGCAACAACTTCGATCTATATCAACAACATGAGTTCTGCAGCCAACAAACATCCTAGCTTAAAATGTGTCCGACTATGTCGCTCATATGCGCATCAACGTTTCGGAATGTAGAAAGCAAATGCAACATGTACTTACTCCCTTTGCTGGGCACTGGAGACGTAATGGTAAGCGTATTCTTACGCCACGATGGTTTGTGTGTGTTGCACATTTCAAGAGCAAAGTAGACACCTTAAGTCAGAGTCTCTGGTCGATTCGTCTTCCAGCACGTGATATTAAGCGTCGCAAAATTATGCACGATATGATCCAAAGGCAGAACAGCAACGAGTCGTTTTTGTCTCTGCTTGCTGACGATATGCAAGGACGAGACAGCAGCAGCAGTGGCATACAAAGCGTATTCTTCTGTGAAGGTTTTATGGCTACAGCGTACTGTGTCGACTAAACAGCAGTCGCGCGGAGGGAGGTCCAGCCGCACGCCTTCGAATTGTGGTCTGCAATGCCTTTTACAGAGATCTAGGCGTCATTCTTCAGGACAATTCAACCGTTCACATTGGCAACTGGTGGCTCGACATCCTTTTTGGGGTTGTCTACGCCGTTCGATGCAGTCTTGATCTTCTTTCCTGCCTTCATGTTGTGCTCCATCTTCTCCTCAGCACTCTCGAAGCGCTTTCCTATCGATTTGCCATCAATTACGATAGCGTCGATCTTCTCGTCAAGTTCCTCAACCCATTTAATAAACCTTTGGAATCTCGGGCTGTTGTTTAACCACTTCTGTATGGGCTTCAGGAACTTGAAGAAGTTCTTGTGCTTGCGAGTGAAATCGTTGACCCCCTTTTCAGACGCTAACGTCGCACGGATCGTCGCGTCCATTGCTTTGCTCGAAAAGGAAGCCGTGCTTCTCTTTACCCACGGCACCGCCCCTCCCCAATTGGCAAAGGAAAAGGTCCCTCTCTCCCCATCAGTGTTTACCTGTTCCAAAGCGTCGTGCGCCTCGGGCTTCCTCAAAAGTCTCTTTGTGTCTGCATCGATGGCATAGCCATCCGTCCCGCGATCCCCAATAATGTCGTCGCGCTTAAGAGCAGCCTTTGGGTCAACAGCGATCGGTGCCGCGTTGTCGCAAGTGCAGGAGGCGAAGAGAGCTGTTACTGCGATAGACGCCAGACGCATGCTTTGCGCAGTTTCAGTCAAAAGCGTGGGGCGCTATTAGTAAACTGTCAAGCTTGATGTACCAGGAGCAGCACATTGTAGCTTCTCGACCTTCGAGCCAGTTCTGATCCGGTAAATTGGATATCACACTGCTCGTATATGTACGGCTAATTCATTAGTACAGGGGTAGGCGAGCTCGAAATCGGTATTGAACTTGCCCTGCAAAAAGGCGTGCGCACGAAAAGCACTTTTGTTAAAAAATGGTGTTTTCGCTTGAATACGAGAGTAGCAAACACGTTTCTACGTGTTTTCTCGCTTGTCGTGCTCGGTCTGCAGAGCGATCGAAAAAAAGCAAAACTCGTGTGCTCATGCTGAGACTGCTGCTATCTTGGTTACGATACTTTACATAAGCGGTCGTACTGCACAACATGCAATTTGTCACACACAAGCAAAAATGATGCTGAGTTGCTGGAGATGATTGTCGAACACGCAAATACCATAAAGTAACATTTGGCGCTGCAGGTCAGCAGGCTGGAAAGAAGGTTGCTTCGCCGAGCCGACAACCAACGACGAGCCAATGCTACTGGTGCGCTAAAAGGGGCCTGATAGATAACGTAAAGATAGTACACAGCGTCGATTAGTACAACGACAACAACGGTTGAGTTTATCCTTGGCAGCGGCAAGAGCTTGAAGGTGCTAATGGTAACAGTAGATACATCGTCTTGGAGATGCTCGACATTATGGAGCTTTCGTGCGTGAAAATACGTGATTTGGAGCCTGAGGAAGGTGTCACGTTTATCTTGCACGACTCTAGCAGGTCACAATGTCGACATATGCTACTTCCTGAATAAAAGCAGCGACCTCATTGACTTAATTTCGTGTGTGGGAATATGTAAGGGCAACACAATCTTCACACGCCAAATGGCTCAACTTACTAGTTGACTCTGAAATAGTTACATTAACTGGTTGATACGACTAACCACATTCTGGCTAACTTGGTCCCCAGCACCAAGTGCCGGATGACGTGAGAGAAGAGGAAAAAACTTTGTCCAGATAGGTCATTTCGTACTAAAGTTTATGTGCTGGGCAATTGCAAGTTTTTTTTGCAGTATTCGTTCGTCGAATGCTATTTTCACAGCTCTGATATTGATCAGCAAGCTGCCATCTGGACTCGTACCGCTACCGAACATTAGATCACAGGATCAACAGCTAATATATAAATTGCAAAACTTGGGTGTGGTGCTATGGGCGGTGATGCTGGTCGTTACTGATAATACAAGTCGGCTGTGTCTACACGATACAGTATCATCTCGAAGCACCTCTTATCTGAAACACGAATGTTACTCCTCTTGGTGCAGCAATCATCACTTTTCCTTATCCTCATCTACACAAGCAGCGGATATTCAGTTTTGAAGCTACAGTAGATGAGACGAAAAGAAATTCTGCACAGCTCTCGGACGGTGCTTGGAGATCTTTTCTGTGAAAGACGAGAGGAGATTATTTACACAGGATTATCAAATGTGTGCATACAGTATATTGTATGACATTTTGTGATCGTTGCAGGGGATGCAATCATCTCCTTCCGTCGTCTTTGTAGAGATCTACATGCCTCCGGGTGACTGTTAAGTGATGTCTTCAGTGCCCGTCTTACATGCTCTAACTCACGCAACACTATTCCAGATGAAATAATGTGATCGTTTTAAGTGCAAAACTCGACGGGCCAACAAAGCCTTGCTGCAGATCACATTTAAACGTTCTTATTGAGGCGACGGGCCTTAAACTAATTTTTAAGAGAAAATAAAAAAGCCCCATTTAATCATTAAAAAACGATGCTTAGATAATTGATAAATAAAAAAAGCCCCAAATAGTTAGAAACTAGATAAATGCCCCACGTTCTTGTAGACACATGTTAAAGTGCCCCAGATAATTGGAAATATAAAAGGCCACAAATTATAGGTAATAAAAAAATGCCTCACGTCCTAGTATACCCATGTTAAAGTGTTACACATAAAAATCCACGTCGCCGGTCATTTTTCATGAGTAATGTTCTCCTCCATCTCGATCGCTGCTCTGTAGGAGCAGCCTCGGACGGGGTTCTGCGCGCGCGCGGACGGCGATGAGAAGACGTGACACGTGTTTCTACCATCGTCTGCGGTATTACACACAGACTACCTGTGCTACTGTTACTTTCGTTGATGTTATTGGCTTGGTTCCTGATGTCATTGTTTCAAATGTCATCCTTGTTATTGCTGTTCCAGTTGCATCCGTTTTTATTCTTATGATCGTTTTTATTGTTAATACTGTTACTGCTGCTACTGCAGGTACGCTGACGCTGCTTTTGTTGTTGCAGTTGGCGCCCGCTTGAGATTGATGGCACTGCCGCTTATGCTGAATGTTGTTGTATTTTATGCCGGTTTTGTAGAGCGAGGTGCTGCTGCTGCTGACTCTACTGCTGTTACTGCTGCTGCTGCAGGAACGCTGAAGATGCTGTTGTAGGTGCAGTTGTGTGAAGGCAACTCCATTCCATCTCATTGGCTAATGTTGTCAAGAGCATTGCATCATATCAGTACACCCGATGAATCTGTACTTTACGAATCTTACGGCACATCGATTATCAGTTTTTATCATGCAGTTGGGCTTCATCTTTCATAGGCACATAGCTTGTAGAAAACGTGCGATGATGCATCAAGTATGTTCTAATTAAAGGGATTGCGTTGCACTTGAACGACAACGTGCTAATATGTTTTGTCGTGACGTTGTGGTCCGGCTTATTATGTATATCTATCATATCAATAATTTTCACACGGGTTCGATCGGATAATGCCGTCTAAATTTGCAATGTAGACAAAGCTGTGTATAATCCAAAGGTGACATTTAAGGCACAATGAAACCAGACATGTGTCCGTATCGTTGCTGATGGATAAACGTAAGGGCTGGTGCAGAAAATGCCGTTGCTTTTTATAAAATTCACCAGCGCCTTGTTGATGTAAAGGGGTGAATCGTTACATAACAATTTATAAGAAATTGTTAATAGAATATAACTATAAGAGTTATATTCTCAGAATATTGTCATAAGGACGAATATTCTGTAGCACTTACGTAGTTCCTAATTGGTTGATATAGGCCATTATATCAACCAACGAAGACGCGCCACGACAGACGCACGCTGTAACGGGGCACCCTGAAGCTTGTACTGGTGACAGTACAAGCTACTTATTCTAATGACAGAATAAGGCGGTGCCTCCGAACTTCACGTACACTCGTACGTGCAGAGGAAGACGGTAAGAAGAAGCGAGTACTTGGTTAGAGTAAAAAGTAGAACTGTATTTAGCATAGTTAATGTCTGCAATAAATCACTATTTATCCTCATCTAACTATGTCTAAGTACAAATGTGTAAATCAGTTATCTGCTCACCACTCATTGCGTGCGTCTGTCGTGGCGCGTCTTCGTTGGTTGATATACTGGCCTATATCAACCAATTAGGAACTACTTGTAAGTGCTACATAATATTTGTCTTTATGGCAATATTCTGAGAAAATAACTCTTATAGTTAAATTCTATTAACAATTTCTTATGAATTGTTATGTAACGATTTACCCCGTTACATCACCCCCCCCTTAACCATCAATCACTTTAGTGACTGATTGACTAAACGGATACTCGTCCCAAATCATTTAGGACAGGGTTTGCACTTGTTGGTCCGAGTCCACTTTCCAACATTTCATCGCATGGTTAACAAGCCCATGCGATGCGCGAGCAAGGCCGCCGAGAGCGCGTCTGCACGTCTCTGTGCGGACGCCGAAGCAGAAACAACAGCAACTGATGTCTCATCGGTTGCTGAAGCGACTCAGCCTGTGTCACTTGGTGATGCAGGCGCTGGCCATGAAGACACTCGTGTCTTCACAGAGTATGAGCTCGGTGTCTTGTACTCTCCTGATACGGATGACGGATCCGTATCGACGGCGATCGAATCTAAGCCGCCTGCCAAGCGTGGCATGGATGATGCTATGCGTCGTAGCATCTTTGGTTCATCTGATGAATCAGATGAACCATCGCCGAAGCGAAGGCGCTCGAGGTCGCGAGACTCGGGCGCTAACAGTGGTGTCGGTTCTCCTATGGACACCACTTCACAGCGAGGTGCCAGTACTTCTGTCGGCACGTCGCAGGAAGAGCGGGACCGCAATGTCTTGCGTCTCGCTCCCGAGAAGAAGGCATGGATGCCTCCTAAAACTGTCATGGATCACTTTTCGGCGACGACGAGTGATCGTTATCGAACACGAATATTCGATTCGTCAAGGATCCATCACCTTGACCCCAGCGCGAAAAACTATCGCGCTGAACATGAATTCTTCATCGACGCTTTCTTCAGACATCGATGGTACAGTGGGAACCACAAGCGTGACGGTCCCTCACTACTTCAGGCGTGGAACGCCTACATCCATAACCTCGAGGATGTAGGTAGTGACGCTTGGAACGACAAACTTATCAAAGCTCGTGATAAGTTTGAAAAGCGAACCCCGACGGGTGCACGCTACAATCTGCATCGTCTGTCAAGGGAGAAAGGATTACCCTGCCTCTCTTGGGGAGACTCGTGCCCATGTTGTGTGAACAACTCTGCACGAGCACCTAAGAAGGCTTACCTCCTTACCAGCCCGTGGTGGCGCGTACGTTCTCTACTGAGATGTACGAAGGGATTGACAACCTGAAATCCCTTTACGACCGTGCCGGGAAGACTTTCTCCGGAGGTCCTTCTGCGGCACAGGATGTGCCGCGTCGTACTGCTCAACCAGACCCAGTACGTCAACCATCAGCTGGGAGCGGGGCTCCCAAGAATCCCAGGACGGGGGATAGCCGCGCCAGCGGACGAGATAACTCGTCCGACGTCCGTTCACGTCGCGGTGGTTCAACAGCTGCTCAACTAGATAGCGCTGGCCACCACGAGAGTCCTCTAATGGAGGTGGAGGAGGAGGAAAGACGCTCTCCACACGATCGTGGGGATCCGTGTGTGTTCCCGAGAGCTTCTTTGATCGCGTAACGCAAGGGTTACGCGGCAATCTCGAACATGAGCGGGACAGACGTCTCCACTTGGCGGACACTGTCTCGAAGCATCGAGATGAGTTTGCCTTTGCTCAGCTTGAGAACGAGAGATCTCTGACATCTCTTCGTGACGAGCTAAGGGTAGCTCGTGGGATTGTTGATCGGTCTCGGGATGAGATAACTGCTCTTCAGACCCTTGTTGATGTCCACCATCGGGAGCACAAGGCTCTCTGCGAGATGCTTGAGCGCAAGGGCGTTCTCCATCGGAAGAAGCAGCGTACTGATGGTACGGCTTAAGCCGACCAACGTAAAACATGGGATGCTTTCGCATCTTACGTGGTAACTCGATCGTGTATGCATTGCCTAGGCGTTGCAATACACGAAATGGGCCGATGTACTTGGGTAGTAGTTTACTGCTACCCAAGTTATTCACTACATGCTTTGGTAGATTAGATGTAGACAGTAGGACTAAGTCACCTTGATTAAATAAAAGAGTGTTTGCCCTTCCATTCTTGTCAGCGTTTTGCTTTTGCTTATCCACCGCTTCGGCGATGGAGTCTTGCACAAAACGGACTACCGTTTCACGAGCCAGTATGAACTCATCTGATGACTCGTTTGCTTCAGTGCGCTGTGAGTGCACTGCAGCAACATCAATCTTTTCTTCAGTGAGGGCTTCCGCGCTCTCACTGGCATCATCTTCTTCGTTATCGATGTTATCGATATCGGCACCAAACGCAATGACTTCTTCGTCAGATCGTGATGAGCGTGAACCAAATCGGTTTTTGCTCGCGCGAGTCCCTCCCCCCCTTAAACCAGAGTTACACTCTAGTAAGGTGGGTACACGCGGATGGCGCAAGCCATTCACGTAAAACGGTGTATGGGTCGTGGACGCATGCACCGAGTTGTTAATGGCAAACTCTACCATTGGCAAGAACTCACTCCAACTCTTAAAGGAGTGTACGCATCCTCGAAGTATCTCTTTAAGGACACGATTGGCACGTTCCGTCTGACCATCTGACTCTGGATGATCAGATGTTGACATCTTCAAGCGCGTTCCGAGTGATTTGAACACGGAACGCCAGAAATCAGCAGTGAATCGTGGATCTCTGTCTGATACGAGTTCACGGGGCAACCCATGAAGTCGGAAGATGGTGTCAATAAAGACACAAGCACAGCCACTTGCCGTGATTGTCTCTGGTACAGCCACAAGGTGTACCATTTTGCTGAATCTGTCAACAAATACGAGAATACCCGTATTCCCGCGTGCGTCTTTGGGTAACCCGAAGACAAAAAACATTGAGATGGATTCCCAGCACTCAGCCGGAACCGGTAGAGGCTGTAAAGGTGCACGCAGTGAAGGACTTGACTTCACTCGTTGATAGACTTCGCATGCGCGAACATACTTTCGCACAAACTGATACTGGCGGGGCCAGTAAAACTCTCGACTCACCGTGAGATATGTTTTCTCTCGGCCACGATGTCCTCCTATAGGAGCATCGTGATACTCGAACATGATCCGCAAACGCAGATCAGTATCTTCTGGAATGACAACACGTGGTGTGTCACCAGAAACGGCTGTAAATACAGTAACCCGTTGCGAGTAGTGTATCGATCTGATGCAGATCGATACGCAGACGACAATCGTTTCAACGATTCTCGAGATGGCTGTGAGAGATGTGTCAACAACTTCACAATCTCACGATCTTCGTCGTATGCCCGCCTCACATCATCATACAACGTTGTAGATGGGACTTAGGACGTCATAACCGCAACAGTGACTGTCTCACTGTTGGGTTTCGCGACCGTTTCAAAGTCGGGCCGACGTGAGGGTGCATCAGCGACGACATTAAGTCGTCCTGGTTTTTTCTCGACCGTAAAGTTGTATTCCGCAAAGAATGACAACCACCGCGCCATTCGTTGTGAAAGGTGCGGGCTGTTCACTGCCGTGCGTAATGACGCATGTAAACAATGAAGGGTCTATCTCCTAATAGATAGACTCTGAACTTCGCGAGCGCATACTTCATGGCAAGGAGTTCCTTGTCATTCACTGGATAGTTCCGCTCAGCTGGTTGCAGCTGACGCGACTGATAGCAGACGTCGCGTTCAACGCCTTCAAGATCGTACTGCATTAATGCACAGCCGATTGCGAAATCGCTGGCATCACAGACCACATGAAATGGCCTGTCCTGATCGGCTGTTGCTAGGACTGGGGATTGTATCAAGCTCTGCTTGATACCCTCAAAGGAGCGCTGACATTCAGCGTTCCATAACCACCTCTCGTTCTTTTTCAACAAACGAGAGAGGTGCACAGTCATCTCGGCGTAATTGCGTGAATACTTATGCAAATACGCCGCTAGCCCAAGGAATTTTCGAAGACCTTTAGCATCAACCGGCACAGGCCAGTCGGTGATCGCCTAGATCTTTTCGGGATCAGGACGTACACCGTTCTTACCAACGATGCACCCAAGAAGTGGTGTTTCGCTTGCTGAAAATATACACTTCTTGAGGTTTGCATTTGATTGATGCTTTCGCATGATTGTAAGAACCTGTCGGACGTGGTACCTGTGAACCTCAACATCCGACTTTCCATCCATAGCTCGACTATGGATGAATACGTCATCGAAATAACTCGGCGCGAATCCTCGAACTGGTCTCAACAGATGTGATACACATCTGTTGAACGTGGCAGGGGCATTACTGAGCCCTTGTGGCATTACTAGCCATTCCCAGAGCATGCCGCTAGGCGTGCTAACTGCGGTATAGGGTATATCCCGTTCCCGCATGGGGATTTGATAGAAGCCATCCATCAAATCCATGGACGAAAAGATGGTACTCTTTGACATACCATCAATGATTACGTCCTTCCTCGGTATCGGCGTCTGAGCCGGTACCGTTGCAGCGTTCAATTTGTTGAACGCGTGCACTATCCGCCACCCTCCTGTTGCTTTTCGCACACAGAAGGTCGGAGAGCTATGTGGGGAAGTTGATTCCCTCACATGGCCCGCAGCTAAACGATCAGCAAAGAACTTGTCGATCGCAAGTACTTGTTCACGAGGCAGTGGCAACTGCTTTATGACACAGTACTTCGAGCCTGGTTTAAGCTCGACCTCGTGTCGAATACCTTTATCCTTCGGTAATTCGCACGGAACAGTTTCAGGGAATACATCCTTGAATTCAACCAAATCTTCATAGAGAGGATTTGTCTTGATCGATTCCCATAATTGGGAGTCATATCGCTCAATTCGTGTCTTTTCATCTAGGACACTCTCGTCCATAGATGAACTACTGAGAACTCTCTCGTTCTCAGTAAACACTGTTGCTGACCTTATGTCGGATACACGCTCGTCGTCAGCGACGAGTACGCAGATCTGCTTGACTTTGCCACTACGCAGATCACGCAGGAACCTTTTATGTTCGAGCGTTGGCAACTGAGTGATCTCCGAAGTTAACTTCGGAGGCGCAATCAGATCAAGTGTATAAGCGCCTACACTTGATCCGTTATTGACTAAGAAATTCAATGTCTCTGTCATTTCCTGGGGACTTATTCCCTCAGGCCTCGAAGGACTTATTCCTTCGTCTTCCCGGGGACTTATTCCCGCGGGTTTCGGGGAACTTATTTCCGCCGTATTTGTAATCTTGGTACTTATTCCCTTTACTTCCTCTAGCTGGGGTTGCGCAACCACAGCGAGATCCTCTACGAAAGACTCTCCAGTCGATCCAGGATTATCGTTTCGCTTAACCTGAGCGATCGATTGTTTCTCTTCTAGATGTTCCCCGCTAGGGATACATCTTTGTTCCGGTCCACTCGACTTATTCTAGTGGTACACCTTCGGCGCAGCCTGTGTTTCCTCACAGCCGCCGGAACTTTGCTCCGAAGTGTAACCGTTTGGTACACTAAGGTTTTGTGCAGTCGTACTAACGACCGTACCACAAGTGAGGCCATCGCACTCACTCGTAGTAAATCCACACGCTTGTGGACGCTCCAAAACGTTCATCAGATGGCTATCTGATGACCAAGCGGCAGGCATCGTTACTGTTCGATGTTGCCAGTTTACCCGTGGTTCATACCTTCTGAGCCACGGTATTCCAAGGATGACATCAAATTTGTCATCCAAATCCAATACGATAAAGTCATCGTCATATTGGGTATCTTCTAGCGTATAGTGAATCTTCACTGTACGCTTCATGACTGGTTACGGATGCGCCTGTCGCAAGACGTACCGTCATCCTCGTAGGAGGTGTGTCACATTCACTGAACTTAAAGTGACCATCTTCTAGAGATTGGCGTCGCACAAAATTGTTGGACGCCCCACAATCGACTAGAGCTCGAAGCGACAACTTATTCGTCACTTCCAGTTTCCAGGTAATGAGTGAGACCTCATTACCTAGAGCAGCAACGCACAGCGTTTGTGTGTTGGGAGCAACCTTCATCAAGAGGCCTACAAATTCTCTTGACGTTGCTGGACCAGTAGGGTGCTCCGCACCTACTGATCCTGTCCGTTTTTGACGGTCCATCCCGTTGTTGCGTCTTTGCACCAACAGCGGACCCTCGTCCCTGCCCCTTTCTCATGGGTGGACGGTCACTACGCCCAGTGTTGCGAGACACTGGACGAGGGGCACTACACTCGTAAGCGTAGTGTCCTGTCTTCTGACATCTGTTGCATTTCTGCAACTTCTTGTAGCCTGTAGAGCGAGCCTTCTCGCTCTCTACATAACAGAGTTCCATCGGCTCTGGACCTCCGTTGTCATATCGTCTCGGTTGACGATATGATGTCGCGCTGGCGCGAGCCTGTCTCAGACTGAAGTCTTCCTGTTCCGCAATGGAAATGGCTTGTTCTAGTGAATCTAGTTCAAGCCGGAACAGGTGAGTCTTGACGGGACCATTCGCAAGACCCTGCATGAACACCGAAACCAACGTGTGTTCATCCACCGGATTGGAACTTATACAACTCGTAAGATGTCGTATATGTTGTGCGTAAGCGTGCACATCACGCTTAC